GGGAATCCTCATAGTGCCGGGGAGGTAAAATGGAAATCCCCAAAAGTGTTGAGCGTGCATATCACGCGTATCTTCGGCACAACCAGACACTGAAATCTATACCACGGTCCCTACAAAAAATAAACTTTTGGTGAATCACCATCTTTTGGTGTTTACATACACGTACGTACATGATAATATTATAGAAGGCGAACAACGGGTCGCGTGATGTTCAGACCCAGTACTATGTGAGTGCATGATTCTAGTCTTGGTAGAAATAAGTAATAACGATTTTGACAGATACGTAATATGTACTTACTTACTAAGTTATATTAAGATAATAATATGTATGTTAAAGCCCGGCTTGACAGAATATAATAGGTAGGTACTGGCGTATTATTCTATACAGCATGCGTATAGCGTGCAGACTGCAGACGCCTCGTCCGAACGTTTCGACTAAACGGTCCTAAGGTTTACGATGAACGACGCGTTCTAGGTCAGTTTTTAAGCATATTTCGAGTATATAAACAAAATACCAATGAACAAAGAAGACTTTCCAATATGCACCACATGCGGAGCACGGAATCACCATAAAACACATTTTAACAGATTGTCGCAGATATAAAAACGAAATAAAATAAAAGAATTTACCAGAGCACCATTATCGAAATCCTAGGACCCCGAACATAAGCAACAAACAAATAAATAACATATTTAAAACATTCAGAACTATATAGGCTTATATTATAACAGTGCATTTAGAGATATAAAAATTTTAATTAAAAAAAAAATTTTAACAGGTTTAAAGGTACGCTAATATAACCTTTGTTGTCGAAGCGAATTTATCAATAAAAACAAAATATTAAAACATATGACGCACATAATATTATATATAATTAAATTATATACAGAGTGATTCACCAAGCATACTCACCCCCTTTTTTTTCTTCAATAATGTAGTTATTCAAAACCTGATTATTGGCATTTTTAATATACTTTAAGACCATTTTTTAAATTTTTTTCTGCTACCAAAGGAGTATTTTTAGAAGATACAAACTTCTGCTTTTCAAATGTGAACACCCATTTTCAACTGTAAATTATATAGTGGATAATTTTTGGCTTACCAGAATTACAAATCGTACTGGTAGTTATTCAACTTTGTGTTCTAAGGATAACAGGTCTAAGATAACGGGTTTATAAATTATAAGATACCTATGGTGATTTGAAAATTTTAGTAATTAATCTATCAATATTAATAATATAAAAATGCCCCCCAAAGTATAATATAAATATTAGATCCTGTTTTAAGTCTATTTTATATTTATGTAAAACCATTTTTGGGGACTATTATTCTTAATAAAAATATTTTATTTATTAAGAAACTCCTCATTTGAATTTTGAATAAGGTACATCAATATTTTCAAAAAAATTATCCACGAAATAATTTACAGTAAAATAGAGGAGTTTTCATTTGAAAAACAGAAGTTTGTATCGCCACATGATACTCCTTTGAGAGAAAATTCTAAATTTGAAAATGTGGCCTATCAGTATATTTAAAAATTCCAAAAATCAGAATTTTAATAAATTCATTAATAAAGGAAAAAATAGGAGTGTGAACGCTTTGTAAATCACTATATATATAATAATTAATAATGTATAATATCGTATATAGGAAGCGAAAATATTATTTTTTTTCCTATGTTAAATAATACACTTATTGAACAATAATAGTTTACTGTGAGATAAAATTCTACATATTATTTCTGATAACAACTATAATACTGTTACAGTTTCCGTTTGTAAAATGTTGACAGTTTTCAAATCACTTTTCACACAATATGTTTTGAACAGAAAAAAATTACTCATTCCATATATACTCTCACAATATTCGCAACAACGCATTCGAAAGTTTATTTTCCACGATGAATGTAATTAAATCAAAATAGAGACGGATGAAGCATTGAAGGTTAGTGCTGCAGTTTATGTTCAATTAAAACTAATAAGTTGCAATATTTATATGCCCACCTGATAATAAATAAACTGAAATCGAACTATAAACAGGAAAAAAAATCACATGAACAATATCGACGAAGTATAACCAATCATACTTGTACATAATTTCCCTCATAAATACTTATTTTTCGTAGTTTTCCAATAATATACAACAACAATAATTATAAGCAGTGAATTCAATCATAAACAACTTTTAATTGTCCCGGAATCAATTAACCGGTACCTGGGAATCAACTCGTGATCAGCCCAAATAAAAACGCTTAGGTACTTTATAGCCTTGGGAATGTAATGAGCTCAAAAATTATTTTATGCCCTAAAATTTTAAAATAATGCATCTTAAAAAGTGTATTGATTTTTTTTTATTTTAAACAAATTTAAATCCAAAAAAATGTTTTATTAAATTTAAAAAATAAATTTTGCAAGCCTGCACAATTTTAAGTCTTCTACTTGAACTTTTAATCTGAAAAAAACAATAATTATTCTCATTTAATTTCCCATCGCTACTCGTAATCTCGATTTTTACGTCGTATACGGATCCGCTCGAACAATATTACGATTAATAATATTAATTGATTAGATAAAAACTAGGTTAAACTACTATAAAACCCGTCAAAACATATTCTCAAAAAAAAAAAAAAAATAGTACGATTAAAATTGAAAACTGTCAGCAAATGCAAAATAAAAACTACTTACATTCTGATTCAAAAACACATCAAACGTATAATATTATGTTATACGCAACGAGCATAGCGAGCTTTGCAAAGTGCATCGAAATCCCAGACCTATATAACATAGAATAATATTGAAATATAAAATATAATACATAAACATAATATTGATAGATTGGTGAAGTGTTGCGTTCCCATTTTATCGAGTTTCTTTTTCAATTTGTCATGATATAATTATAATGGTCTTGCACCTCCGCCACTTGTGTGTAAATATTGCGGCACACAATAATAATTTGTTCTCCGCATTGTTCAATCACTATGTGATCGTACAAATTTGAATTATAAATTGTTGTACATAGCGCGTGCGCGGTCGGCCGAATGTTAGGCTCGAACTTAGATGCTTGAAAAGTGAACTAAATAATATATAATTTATGCGCGCCGCGTTCTATGTGCATTGCGCATATCGGAAAAGCAAAAATATGCACTTAATATGATTATTATTTTTCGGTTTTTTGGATTCAAAATTATAATAATTGCATTATATTATAAATATTATTTATTTAAATTCGGATATTATATATTTAAAACTATTTGTTACATAATTATTTACTCTTCAGTCTCGGAACGTACTCGACAATCGATAATTGGGTGCACGAAAAGTTAAAAAGCTAAGTCCGATAATGCTGAGGTCCTGGATTCCATTTTATAAACTTTTAACAGTTAAACAAATATTATATAATATTTTAAATTGTAATGCTTGTTGACGTCCTGATCTCGGATTATTGTACAAAATATCGTCGAATACAGATGTATACATTAACCGTGGTATGACGACGACGTTGAAGAGTGTAGACGATAACCAGCAATGGGATAATGGTCCATTCGCAGGACGCGGTTGGACGTCCTTGGCAAGCCGGCGCCAACAAGGCACTACGCGATAGAAGGCGATTTTCGTTATCAGGTCCTCCCACACCAGCTGATAACGAGCAATGCATAACACGTGTATTATTATTATTACTATTTATTATTAAACCGGCGGATGGTGTTTACTTGATGAGATGGAAGGGTAGAGAGGGGTAAAATTTTAGCGAACGTATCGTATTAAATAATATCTTGGCGGCGGTGTCGGAGGCGGTTAAGGTCAACGAACCGTTTCGGGCAGATAAACACGACCGAACGATAAACGCGACTATCGAGAGGGTCTCCCGCTACGTGTATTGATCGGGCGGGGGTGGGTGTGGAAGTGCCTCGAAGTGCGTACAACGCGTTTGGCGTAGATAACGGAGACACACACAGGCCCACGCACGAGCACAATATATACTATATATTATGTTTAATGTATTGACAAAACACAAGGAAAACTAATAAACGAGAGAGGGAGAGAGGAAGGCACAGGTGAGGGGGAAAGCTGCACTCGATGAGTGTCGTCGACGCCGCCACCGCCGTCGGTTCGGAATGCAATTGCCGCGACCGTAATCCAAGTTTAAAAACTAATAAAACTAATGAACGTCTGCTCGCACGCGTCTCGATCCGAAGTATTTTCACACCGCAGTGCATCCCTCCGATGGCGAGGCCATGTAATACACAGTTAATCGAATGTATAAGCACTGCACGAAAAGTATTTCAAAAGTCGACGCGAAAACCTTCACGACGTCGTGACAATGTCAGGCTCCTCTCGGCAATTCGAGGTTTATTTCATTGCAACGCAATATTATTTTGATACCCTGCAGACTGCAGCAGTGCTCGTTTAGAGTTAAGTGTATTTTGAGTTTCGTGGAACGACGACGATTATTCTAGTGTTTTGACGAGCCGACATTAAAGTAGCGAGAATTAATCGAAACGCCTATGTGCATATTATATAATATACATATTGTGCGGCACGGCGGCCAAAGGGTTTCCAGATACCTGTAACCTGACCTTTTTTCTTTTTTGTGTGTTTTATCGGCGGGTAGATATGAATTGTTCCGAGAAGTAAAATTCAACAGTCTATCCTAGGCTCCATCCTTAGGTTTCTTGAACTTATACTTATAAGTTATAATATTGCCAATGTATTTCAGCTGAGGTAACTTTTGCCCGGGCAATGCCGGGTGGGACAGCTAGTACATTATACGTATTAGTAGGACAATTCGGAAAATAAAAAATTGTCATATTAATGATAACTTAATTATACCTAATTGCATACTGAAGAATAATATAAAAATAGGTTTATCTATTTAATATAAACAAATTTACAAGGAAGATAATTCAACAAACATTGTTTAATAAAAAAATCTACAAGATATGACGTAATTGATTGATAAATTTAAATTTAAATTTAAATTCAACAGGTATTACTAAGCTTTAATGTTTAGACTGATATATAACTATATCTGAAACTAAGTTTGACAAATTTGGATACTCTTCCTTAGTGCCCGAATCGTTCAATACTTTGTTGACTCTGAAACAATTAACGAGCACATAAACAATTATTTTAATGACTTTCTTATTCTATTTACCCTGATTGAATTGAACATGTTGATAACTTTTTATGAAGATTAAGACTATCTAAAAGTTTTCCAGCACAATTTCTTACATTTTGATTTTCTTCTAGAGCTACAAGAATTTTTGTAACAACAAACAATACTGGATCGTTGAAAATCCAAGTATTACTAATTTGTAATACCTTTATAACTTTCTGTAAGTATAGAAATTATATAAACATGACATCAGTAAATATTTTACAGTAGGTGGTATTGGAAGTTGGAATATACATCAATTTTATTTTTCTTGACATAATTGAAAAGTACATTATAACATTCATCATATATCCATTCCGCCATTATCATATCTGATTTTTCCATACACACTTATCATGTGTGTTGGTGAATCAGAACAGGCAGTACCTATGATTGTTTCCTATGAACTTGACAGGCTTTGTAAATATAATAAACAATTAAACAATAATATACAAACAACTTATGTTGATAGTTTTTGTCGTGCTTTATTTGCTTATTTTAATATTTTCAAGTGCTTATATGAATGCTTATAGGAAGTATTTAAGTGCTTTTTTGATGATTATAGGTGCTACTCCGAACTCTGGTTATGACGGTTATGAGTGTATACAATTTTACAGTTCAAAAATTCATATATCCGACATGTTCTTAAATTTTTTTTATAATAGGTCAGTTCACCCTAAAACTGAAGATAACAACATAAGATCGGTTCTGTTGAACTCACCATATGCACAAATAGAGTTTGGGATTTGTGTGGGGGGGGGGGGCTAAAGCCTTACTTTGGTAATACTGAATACGTTTAAGATAAAATGTTGTAAATGTTTGGGGTGATTTATGTACTAAAGCCCCTCCTCCCCCTATTTGAGTCTATGGAACTCACATTTTCTATGTTACACATGGGTCAGAGAGAGAGAAAAAATAGTGTACTGACATCCTCTTAGTAACAACTGGAAAAATTACATGAAATAATAATATAATATTATTATATACAATTTGTTTTAGCAACAAACCTATCGTATGACTAATAGAAAAATAAATTACTAATAATAATATAAACATACTAAAATATCCATACAAATTACTAAAAAACATGGCCATCTCCTCTCAAAATTGTTTTTCATATGCAATGATTTATCATATATAATTATTATATAAAAAAAAAATGGGAAAATAAGTGACTCTATGATGAGGTACACTCAACACTTATACAGCAGTAGGTAGTTTTTTTAAATTATTTTAAAATAGAAACAATTACCCTCATTCTTCCAACCTTTAGAATGCATTCTTTTTACTTATTGTATTAAACATTTTAGTATCGATGACATGCCATGGTTATTTATAGAGGATACCAGCTTATTAATGGGTTTGTTCAAATCACATATTGTCTAGAAAAAAAACTATTTATATTAAACAATTTTTTCATAGACATTTTTTATTATTACTTTTTATAATATTGGTCCTACTAATAATTATTGTATTATTGTACATAAACAATGCTTTGTAGTTCATTGTTTTCATAAATTTCTTTACTTAAATCTGTAATGCATGACAAAAAAACTTTTTCTGGAAAAGCACCCTTTCTAAAGAGTTCGCCAATGAATCTATCAAAAATAATATTTTATATAAAAAAAAAATAAGGTAGTAGTTAATTAAATAATATTAATTCAAAACACACCAACAATTGCATATGGATTTTTTATTAAAATGAAAAATGAAAATTATTTAAAGTTTATATACACCTCCTTGGTACCTGGTAAACAAATAATGGTATGTATAAATATTATTGAACCCAACCTTTAAAAATTAGTAAACTTATTTTGAATTCAGAATTACATATAATTTAATAGATAGAGGAATTAGAAATAAAAAATACGTATTATAAAGGTATTATAATATGTTAAGAACCTTAGATGATAATATTAATAATAAATAATAATCATAATTCATAAAAAATATAATGACAACATAACTATTTACCACCTTATCATTTTTCATCTTCTCTTTTAATTTGTCTAATTCTTGTTGATACTTTGTTGAAATATAAAATACATCCGAACATTTTTTTAATAGAACTTTTTGAAATGTAGCTTTAGTATCTATAGGAAGTTTATTAAACTTGGAGTCATTTATCATACATGCACACATCTGGGCATATACATGTGTATATTTTGTCTTTTTAAATCCTAGATAGATCATAGATATAATGATAATGCAATAAATAAAACAAAAAGTAATGATAATATACAAGTTTAATTAGAAGTTAGAACTATAATCATTATTAATGTATACATACTCGATCAAATATTATATCTGTCACTTCTTCGAGTAGTTTATCATTGTTTATTGGCAAAGCAATAGTTTTTTGTATCATCTTAGCCAAGTTGACATCATTTAAATGATAAACAATCGATCTTACAGTATTTAACACTTCCTAAAATAATACAAATTTTAAAAATTAATGATTAAAATGTATCAATATGTAGAGACTAAATAACACTTTTTATTATTGCATGAATAATAAATAAAAACTATTCTATCTCTAATTGCTTACACAAGTGCAAGTGCCAGAAAAATGAATAATAACTATTTGTACTATGTTGTATATAGTATTACACGATTCTTATGTTCACCCAAGCAGAATATAGTAGAAAATGGCAATCTAGAAACATAGGTACCTACCCTGTTTACATATTCCTACCATTTAATTGTGGTGGAACTGTGTATTTTGACCCAGTTAAATTTTACCCCCCAGTAAATATTCACTAGCGAAATTTTACCGGAGGTAAATTTTCACGGCGGGGTTAAATATCCCTAGTGAATATTTACCGGGGGTTGATAATCACTGGTAAAATTTCACAAGTGATTATTCACCACAAGTAAAGTTTCGCTAGGGATATTTTACCCAGATAAAATTTAAATATCCAAATTTTACCTCCCTGTAAAAATTTACTAGACCAAATTATTCATATATTTACACTATTAAAATGTTTTTATATGAATTAATCTTTTACGTTAACTTAACTAGGATATTAGAGATATTATTATAGTACACAGATTTATACATAGTAGTATAGAAATCTGTGTTATAGTAGTATATGGAACAATATTTTATTGTCGTATCAGTATCAAATCACAGAAAAGAATATTTATGATTTAACTTGTGGTAGGTAGTGTAATAAATGTACATGTCCAGATTAATTAAAGACCGTGTGTATAACACTATACACCCCTTATTAGAATATTAATTTTTATTTTATTTATATTATATTTATTTATCAGCTGGCGCCTGGCAGGTCGGGTAAACTCCGAAAACGTTAAAACAAGTCTTAACGATATAATATAAATAAACCTAGTAGTTATATTATTTTTAATATTATATTATAGTTATATTATAGAAGTCTATAATAATGTACCTATGTCTATGATAATCTAGAATTTCGTTGGATGAAACCGGTGTGAAAAATAATGCACCGGGATGTTTGGACCATATCATTTACGTGGTCCGGTGAGGGATAATGTGGGATCATTTTAAACCCGTCTAGCTCAGCGAATTTATAGAATATCACAGATTTCTATATAACATATAGCACATAAGTAGTATTACAGAACAATAGTATAGACGAATATTCGGTACATAATATTAATATATTTACATACTATATAATATATATACGTTTACGTTAAGTTATTATTTATATTAAATATACTCGTACAATTTTCGGGGAAGGACTTGATGCTGAGAGACATCACTAGCGGTATTTATAACGATTCCCCCCCACAAATGATCGCCCCGTACAGCAAGGCTGGGCAATAGTTAATGATTTTTTTTAACTCAGTTAAGTTAAAAGTTAATACACACTTTTTGTTAACTTTTTATTAAGTTAAAAAAAAAGTTAATTTATTTAGCGTACTTAATTTTTTTCCAACCCAAAACTAAATTATAGACTATAGTATACACAGTGTTTATACCTTATACAGTATTTCCATACAAGTTAGATTCGAATGATATACATTTTTAACTTTAAACAATTTACGTTACATATTTTTTGACATAAAAACGAAAAAATGAAATATAATTAAATTAAAAACAAAATAAATTAACTTACCTTACTTCTTAAAATGAAAAATTAACTCGTTAATTTCAAGTTAATTAAAAAAAGAAATCTAGTAAGTTAAAGCTAAGTTAATGAAAATCTAAAACTAACTAGTTTAGTTAAAAAGTTAAAATAAAATTAACTTTTTAACTTAACTTTAACATTTTAACTCGTTAATGTCCAGCCTTGCCGTACAGTATACCCAAACGCTCAAAGCTAAGCAAGTTGATGACTTACTACAACTCGGTTAAAGTTGAGTAAATATATAAACATTAATAAGAAAAATTTAATCAAATTGTTGGTCAAGCTACCCCTCTTCACCGGAATTTAATTTATTTTTTGTTTCTAAAACTATTTTATTTCGTTTTTGTACCAACTTAACACTATATAAAGTCAACACTAGTAAATATATATTTTAATAGCTTGTCCACCACAAACACACCGTAGTTTGACGATGGATATAATGTGTAAAATAATAACAACACCCTTAAGCGTGAGTAATGTGGATTAATTCGGGTAACGCGTAGATTACAGAGGCTGCGATATATCGTAAATCGCCTTAATGCGTCATCGAAGCCCGGAGGGGAGCGAATATATAATGGGTTGACTAGGTTCTAAATTATCGAATTGGTTCATGGGGTTGTCAACAGGTGTCATACGAGTAGGTTCCGATGAGCTTTCATAATGATAATATACCAACAACTATGTTAAATAAACTTTTCAAATTGCCATGCTACATACAACCGACTTTCCGGTTTACACCAACTAGGGACTGTAAAGAATACATAGGTTTGGTTAAAGAGAGTTGCTAGTCAATCTATACACATTATTATATTATTATACGCGCTGTATAAGAGTATGATTATGCTAATATCAATGATAATAATGATAAAATAGACATATGATAATACTATTACAAAAAAAATACCAATCCATTAGATATATAAATTCATAAACTTTAGCAGACATCCTTAAATCTTATTAAATATCATAATACTACCCATGGGATCAAATTCGTACATTTTATTTGACCCAGGAACCAATTATTCCGTATTACCCATGATTAGTGTATGTTGAGCCGGAGTTGCCCCAACGGCCCAACAGGTGAACAGGGTTTCACCTAAAACGACGATTTTACGACTTTAATAGTAACAGCATTAAAAACTAATATTAATAGTAAAAATAATAATAATGTATACTACACCAATATTTAATATTTTATAATAATTAGATACAATA